GGACACAGCTAGAGCATACAAGAAATTAGTGTAATAGTGGAAATGTTTATATTGTACTATTTTTATCATTAGTAGATGACAACATTTTAATTTTTTAGAGAGTTTTATTTTATATTTTGAGTTGTATAATATATATTATATATAAATTAAATTATTATAAACTGAAAAAATTATGATAGTAACTTTTTTATAACAATCATTTTTAAAATACAATTTTGAATAAAAATATGCTATTAATTAGCGAAGGTATCTCTCATAGACAACAGCCACTAAATACAACAAATATTTTTATATCATAATGAATTTATCTAAATATTATATAGGTTGAATCTATATAACTACTATTTAGTATTATACACATTATTAAAATTTTAAGTCTCAGTCTCAGGTATCAGACTGATAGGACGGTGATATACTGATATGTATGTACAAGAAAGAAATACAATGCATAATAATAATATGATGTTGTTTTATAAATCGAATTCTGAAATTTCAAACGGGTGTATATATTTTTCAATTTTCGATATCTTTTGATAAACACTATCTACCAGCTTAATATAAACGATGTGTTATAATTATATGACGTGAGTAAAATAGCGGCAAACCCATGCATTATACTACACCTTTAATTACTGTTGATATTAGGCTGTATAGACACGCCTATTATTGTGAACTCGGTGAGTTATTTTATACGACAGCTGATGTTTCGGGATAATAATAACGAATGTATGTGTAGGTATAATACAGTATGTTATACCGAATTTATAGTTTCTCTAGGGTTCTCGCCTACGCCATACAATGTTCGTGCAACTGTCAGTATTTCACACGACCCCGTCCACGGCATTTTTTCCACCGTATTCACGTTACCGATTCTTTGGATGAAAGTTTTCGTAAAAATTCGTAGATTATCCCTTATATCCTATATGTTATGTTAAGCTTAACGTAGCGGTGGTAGCTAAATAAAAAAAAAAAAAAATAAGGAAAACTACAAGTTGTGCAGCGATCCTTGCATGGGTAGCCACTGGGCGAGTGTTTTGTATCCAAAACTGAATTCCGTCTTTAACAGTATTTCCCAACCAACGTTTTATTTAGAGTGCTTCGCGACATGTAAATAATTAACAACATGTCGTGGCGTACGAAAATGTATACTTATTTACTAACGTATATGTATGTATTAAGTCCTGTTCATTAATGTGCCCCCCCGCCCTGTAAGTCCGCTCTTAGGAAGCCCCACTTTTTGACAGTTCTTATATAGTTTGAATAACCGATTGAACTTGTTCACAAAAATTTCTGGCGAATAAACACGAATTTTGTCGGAAACGAATGTCAACCACTACTGKTGTAGTACGGAAAAATATCGTATAAATCCACAGCAATGAAATTTATGAGTGCCGTAAGACCAGGCAACGTGCATGATTCGTTAAACAACATATTATTATCATCATATAATTATATGAAGCTCAACGTTTTTGCATAATATGCAGAGTCACAGAGTTATCAATTTTTAATCACACATTTTATAGGCGGGTAATATTAAACTACTCCACGCAACATATCGTAATTATTTCGTTCGTCATAATATTCAGATTAATTAATTAGTCTTGTAATTGCGTTTTCTCATACTTTCGTACAGACACAGAAAACTTTTGAMACCTTGGAGATATATAGTTTCATAGTACACACACCGTCCTTACAAAGTTTTAGGCTAAATGGTATGTCAAATATACAATAGATAATGAAGAGAGTTTAAAATTAAACTTATTAGTGCGATTACTGTACATTATTATCCAGTGTTAATTATTAAGAAAACAGTTGAGACTTTAAATCTACTGAAATGTATTTTGTTAAAAAATATTGGTAATTTTTTCTTTGGCATATCTATGCTTAACAACTATAATATAATACACCTGCAATATTCCACTATTTCCTCTCACCATATTTGTTAATATTTGTTTATAAGAAATGTACAACACTGTTATCACTACTATTTGGTTGTTATTTTTTTAGAAAATTTTCAAACTAATCAATATATAATACTATATTGTTTGTTTTGCATTTATTTCAACTCGTAAAATAGTAATAAATCACAATTTTTTTCTAGTTTGTACTATAATAAAACCTTATCTATATATTGTGACATTTTTTTTATGTATTTCACATCCTGTATAACTTATGCTAAAACAAAAATTATCACATATTCAACTGTAAATAACAGAATATAAAATAAAATAAATATCACCCCTAAAAAAATACGAAGATAAAATGCATTTCGTTCTATTTAAAATAAAATAAAAAAGTAATCCTACTTCTACGAGTCATAAACGATGATATACGGAAATATGTTTTGATGGTTTATCCACTATTATGTCATATAATCCGAATCGTTATGAAATTATATTTTATACATTACATTGACTTAAAAAATAAACTGTTGTTATTTCTATAAAAGTTTGAACAAACAGATAAAACATAACACTGACAATTTCAAACAATATACTATTTTACTTCTTAGTTAAAAATTAAATGTTTATTTCATAGTATATAAATTATATTTATAACTAAATCTAGTTTAACCATATATTTGATGTACACTGAAAATCACAAACTATGGACACTTAATAATTTATGTAAAATACCTGTAACAGCTAAGCYCTATTGTAATATTCTATGAAGCATTCAAATTTTTTTAATCTTAAATAATTAAGTCAGAAGTTAACAACAGAGAATACAATTTATTAATGTTGGTAAGCTTCATTTCCTCATAATAATAGCTTCGAAAAACATCCGTAAGCACTTACTTATTGCAGCCGTGTTTCCTGAAATAATAATAATACATTTTTTTAACAAATTAAAGTAATAGTTATTTTTATAATTAGTGAATCAGAGAATGTGGGAGCAATATCAAAATCACAGTATTATTTGTAATTTCACAGGTTGAATAATGTTTTAATATTTTACCAGTTAAAAATAAAGTATAGCAGAAAGTGAGTTACAAGTAATTTACAAATATACTAGTCAGGATGCAATGATATGTGTAAATAACATACCTAATCGAATCAATTTTATTTTAGCAGTACCTAGTGATTCGAAATCTTAAACTCTAGTTCAGAGAAAAATTAAAGAAATTCCTTTCTTTAAAAATAAATAACTATTTCTAAGTGATAAATAATCCATCCTCAAAAGGGAGCATACGAATTTACATAATATAATTACACCTGAAAAATCATTCACGTTTTTTTTTCATAGAAATATGTTTTATCATATTTTTAATTTAAAATGTATGATTAGAAAAGTGTAAAAAAGTATGACACCTAACCTTGATTTATCATTTGGGTTATTTTAGTACACACAGACAGTGTGTCTTCCAATACAGAGAAGTTATATTAATGTTATYATTTTATTACATTTTGTGTTGTTTATATGCATATATAGGTTCCGTATAATATTAACAATAAACAATATATACTCAGAGTCCTATCAAAATGCATCTTCCGATTCGTATATACATTCGTTCTTTTTATTGAAAATCAGTAAACATATAAATATAACGTGTTATACACTACAATTCTGCAACCAAAAATTTACCATGAAAAATTATTATATAGGTACGTAACATTATTATGAACACGTATTAGGTAAGTACTTTTTATCATAAAATATGCGTATTTTAAGTACGGCGTTCATAACGAAATTCTTATTCGATTATAATATAATATAGTTTTGAATATGTTAATGTTTTATGCGTCAACATTAAACTAATCCTTTAAATTAAAAATACGTACACAATATTATTTATATGTATTTATACTTTTAAAACTAAGCCATTGGTTAATAGCTATGAACCTAAAATGTTGCCTAAATGAGTTAATTTTTTAAATATTTTATTTCATTAGGTATAACTGTATAATTTTGTTTTCTTAGGAAATTTAAATGCTTTGGTTGTTTTCAGGTTTTTGTCCCCTTGTATTGCATTAAAGGTGTTGGATGCATTCTTCGAACTCCTCTCCGTACTCACGACATATTATTATTTCCAGTAACTGTTGACCGTTAGTGTTACTCTGTGGGTTTCTTATATAGGTGGAACTTCATTTTATATTATAATGTTATTCATGTATGTCAGACTTATAGTCTATTTAGTTTTTTTTTTTTTTTTTTTATTTTTCTAACTCAAGATTTATGCAATATTATTGTACGGTATTTAAATGCGATATCAGTAGCTTTTCGGTATTGTAACAGATACCTAGGTATATTGAAAAAATCGTYATTTGCATTAACTAATATAGTATAAGGTATTATTAATTTCGGTATTGAACGGTACGTTGGTACTTTTATATCACTGCAGTATACCATTCAAGTGGTGTATGAGCCATAATTAGTAATTACATATATTTAAGACGGTATGCAAAGTATTTATGCCTGCGAATTTCAACAAAAGTATATTAATACATAAACACAAAACACACTACTAGGCTTTCATACACCTAAATAACTAAATTATATAAAATAAATGTTTTGAGGATAATAAAATATGTCGGTCAAACTAATAATATATCATAATTTCTATCATATCCGTATTAAAATACCTAGGCATAATTGTTTACAAGTATCTGACTTAAATCGTAAACTTCACTAATATTATATAATAACCAAACCATATTAGCATTCAACTGCTAACTTAAAATCAAAAAATCATAATAAGTCCAGTCTGGCCATAGGGATTTCAAATAATATGGGGCTGTGCTAAATATTCAAATTTTAGAATGTTTCAGGTATTTCAATAAATTTTTCTTCATACCTATAATTAAATATATTGTCTAGGAATATGTAYCTAAATAATTTATTTCATAAATCTAGAGTGCACATTGCATATACATATAATAAATATAAAGGATGGACATTTATTAAGGTTCCCAATAGTCATTATAAATACTTAATACTTGGCATACTTTGATAGAATACAGATTGAATACATACCTTAAACACTTGAATTAATATATCACAATATTTGTCTATAATATACCTAATCAAATTTGTCTTTGCAATTAAAGCAATCGTTTGTTGTTACCTGTATTTAATTTAGGTCATTTGAATGCAATTTCAATATTCATAGATACGTTAGTTAAAAAGAAAAAATAATAATAATAATTTAAACGTGTACAAATAGTTTAAAATTCAATTTAATTATGGGTAAAAAATGGTTTTCTCTGATATGAACGTGTTATACTGTTATTGATAGCTAAAAGCCGATTATGATCCTTTATATAACTGCAGAGTATTGGAGCGAACAGAATCATCGCATTAATATTTAAATCCTGAATTGTCAATTCGCTGTGTGCAATATCTTGCAGCAGATATCCAAACTAACCCAATAAATACCCTCATCCGGCGTGAATTGCCATAAAAAGGTATCTGTATGATATATACAACTGTTTAGTATTTTTCTTCATTTATGTTGTTATTAGATTTTTATTATGTATACATATATAATGTAATGCAATGTAATTGAAATCCTACTCTGTGAAATGATCTGCACATAGACAAGTCATTGGTTTTTATTTAAATAGTGACGCGATCAGTAGGTATAGAATTCTGAGTAGGTATAAATATATTTTGACTGTCATTTAAATATGAACTGATGAAATGTATCATCCTACACACCGTTCCATGTGAGAAATGTGAAAACTATCGTCACTAATCGAACAATGATATGTTATACCCCAACGTAAAAACTGAGAATAAATTCCATTGCCCATAAAATATTAAACTAACAAATGTAAGTGTCAAAATTTGTATCTAATGATAAATCACATAATCATATCATATAATATGTAGTACAACATGATAAAAAATAATTTTCTAAAAAAGATATTCTAATTTTAACCAGTCACAAAAAAATGTATTGTTTAATAATAATATTAAAATATTGATATTTTTAATTTCAACCACCTACCTTTCTAAAATGTAAACTATTACTAGTTTTACCAGAAACAATTTTTAACGTTGAAAATAAAAACAATTTTTTACTATGAATACTGTTAAAAAAAAAAAAAAACATAATTGTAAAATCAATACATTTATCGCGCTTAGAATCTAAAATGATAGTTACCACGGTCTTCCCTACAAAGTACACGTGAAGTATAAAATATTATATAATTTAACCATGATGAGAGCTAATTTTTAACATGATTGAACAAAAATGCTATGCGTCAATTGATAGACAAAAGCAAGTTTCTGCAGATACTACACCAATGTATCAATTTAATTATGAATTTACAGATAGCACCAATTTTTTTTTTTTTTAAATGACAAWAATATTGTTCTAACGCTGAAATTTATTGAAGAAACCATTTGGATTAATTTGTTATGTTCAAAAAAAATATGTTTTCGTTACTATATTATGACCATATGGGTAATTTATTTAGTATTTTAAAATATTAATTCAATACCTACAATAAAGTGCATTTGTTATATTTTTATAGGTGATATACAAAGTATTATAATTAAATATTTATAATATTTATATTTACTGAAAGCTACGTCAAAAATAAAAAGACGAAAATTCTTTATAAGTTAGATATCTAA